TCCCAATAAATTAGATATTTTTCTTTTTTTTTTTACATTTTGTTTCATATTTAATTATGGAATTAATTTTAGTGTAAGATATGAGCCTCTTATTTTTCTCTGCAAATTGTTAATTTTGCTGAAATAGTGTTGCATAATACCCCTTTTTTATTCTTAATACTTCCTGTATAATATTTTGCATCTTTTTTTTAAGATTTTATTTATTTATTTGAGAGAGAGAGAATGAGAGAGAGCACATGAGAGGGAGGAGGGTCAGAGGGAGAAGCAGACTCCCTGCCGAGCAGGGAGCCTGATGCGGGACTCGACCCAGGGACTCCAGGATCATGACCTAAGCCGAAGGCAGTCGCTTAACCAACTGAGCCACCCAGGCGCCCTAATATTTTGCATTTTTATATATTCTAGAATTTGTTTCATTTATACTTACTTTTTCTTTTGATTTGTAAATTTTAATTACTGTAACTTTATAATATATTCTAATATCTGAACAGGGAAGCTTTTCCTCAAGACTTCTCTTTTTAAAAAAATATTATTCTCATTTACTTATTCTGAACCTTAGAATTATTTTATCTGGGGCACCTGGGTGGCTCAGTCGGTTAAGTGTCCAACTCTTGGTTTTGGCTCAGGTGGTGATCTCAGGGTCATGGGATTGAGCACACACCCCCCACCCCGCCCTAGGGCTCTGTGCTCAGTGGGGAGTCTGCTTGAGATTCTCTCCCTCTGCCCCTCCCCCACTCTCTCTCTCTCTCTCTCTCAAATAGGTAAATAAATCTTTAAAAAAAGAATTATTTTATCTAGATTTCACTCTCTGCCTCTCCTCTCCCAAAGTTAATTCCAATGGGATTTTGGTTGGCATAAATAAATAACTTCAGAATACTTGATCTCTCTTTTAGGAGTATGGTATATCATTTCAATTTTTAAAGTTTTCCTTTCTATCTCTCATTAAAGTGACACATCAATTAAATGTTTATGATTTCTTTTCCTCTGAGACCACAACAGAATTTAACATCGGTGACACTCTCATCTTTGGGGAAATTTATCCCACCACTGCTGTTCTCATAACTCTATCCTGATCCCTCTTTTTTTTTTTTTTTTAAGATTTTATTTATTTTTTTGATAGAGAGAGAGCACAAGTAGGCAGAGAGGCAAGCAGAGGGAGAGAGAGAGAGAGAAGCAGGGAGCCTGACATGAGGCTCGATCCCAGGACCCTGGGATCATGACCTGAGCGGAAGGCAGCCGCTTAACTGACTGAGCCACCCAGGCGCCCCCTGATCCCTCTTTCTTATGTCTTCTCAAGTAGCAACTCTGATATTCATTAAGATATCTTCTTTCTCTTTATGGACTCCCTTCATAGATTTTTCCCTATGCAGAGAACCATGAACTATCAACCAGAATCTCTTTCCAGAGCCCCTGTCCAAACATTTTTACATTCAGACCTTGCCAAACAGCAGCATCGCTGCTCTGGATACACTGTGCAATTACCCTTCCCTCTTATCTGTTCCATGTCCATTAGTTTAGAGCTCTTCAATGTACTCACGTCAGCTAGGCTGCAACAAACCATCCAGAAGAAATTATTTTATTTGTTATCTTCCTATAAATATCGGTGTTTTAACAAGGAATCCTTGTTTTACTTCCCCTGACTCTTCCAAAATTGAGTAACCCTCCATGGAACTTTCTAATAGTGCTGTAGGTAGGCAGGGACAGGATGTGGGTGCTGATAATATTTTCATCACATCACTCATTCTGGCTCTGTATCAGTCGGGGCCAATCAGGAGATGGAAACTACTTAATAATTGGAATATTTGGAAAGTTTAATATGAAGAATGGTTAACTATAACAGAGCATTGCAGTAACAAGGGATTGGCTAGTCAGAAACGAAGAGAACTCTAGGGAATATAGTAATAGCAGTTAAAAGGAACAGAGAATACCCCCGGAACTGAAATAAAGTGCCCAAGGAAGGAGTCCCTCACCAATCTCACACACATAACAGGTCCAGACCTTGTTGGAAAGGGCATAGCAATCGCTCACTGCTGCTGAGCCAGCAAAACTTGCTGGAAATCTACCCTCCAGAACTTTCTGGAAATTGATGGCCTTTAAGGTGCCAGAGAAAGCTGTTCGTGGGCAGGTGTCCTGCTAGCAGTCCTCTGCTATGACCTTGCATAAGGGGGTTGGCCAGGGAGAGCTGTTGGCCGCTGGGTGCTACTGACCACTGTGCATTGCAGATAGCAGAGGCTGGAGAAGCTACTTGTACTTGACGAGTTTGGGGCTGGAGAAGCTATGGCAGGAGTCTGTAGGGAGACGCACACTAGAACCAGGAGGACAGCTCCTCCTTCTTACAATGTCATTCTAGTGCCCTCTACTGACAAAGCTTAACAACCTGTTGGTAGGCAAAAGATAAGTATTTAAAGGATCCACCTGTTTTTCCACAGAGCAGCCAAAAAGGGTGAAGGTGGAACTGAGAGGTAATAAGCTGACAGCTATCATGGGTATGTTTCTACACATGCTCAAACAAGGGCGCCTGGATGGCTCAGTCAGTTAAGCATCTGACTCTTGATTTCAGCTCAGGTCATGATCTCAGGGTCATGACATCAAACCCCATATCGGGTTCCATGCTGGCTGTGGAGCCTGCTTAAGATTCTCTCTCTCTGTCTCTCTCTCCCCCTCTACCCCTCCCCCTCCCTCTCTTAAAAAAATACTCATAAATATCTAGATGACTTTGGTTATTTCCACCATACCCAGACATTCTACTTGCAAACCTTTCAATTATCTTAGTTCATTGTAAGGGCAGAGATTTTTTTTTTTTCTAATTTATGTATTCTAGTGCTTGCCAGAAATTTCCATTGTCTGTTCTCAGCACATACATGTTAAATGCTCAAGGGCAATGGTCTGAGTAGGCAATATAGCTCAGTGGTTGAACAGACCCTGGAGCAGACTACTTAGGTTTGAACGTGATTCTGCCACTTACTGGCTATGACCTTGAGCAAGTATTCCATCTCTTGTGTGCCTCAGCTTCCTCATCTTTATAATAGGAACAATAGTACCTAACTCACTGGCTTATTGTGAAGATTAAATGCGTTAATACAGGAATCTCCCACTTAATAATAGCAATCCCTTTAGGAAAATCAGATTTCTGCAGGAAAATCTGGAGCCTATTTTATGTTACTTTGAAAAGGAAAAATTTGAATGAATAATAATCAACCAATTGTACCCCTCCAGCAATTTCTTAAATTGCAGCTAAACATAGTAAGTCTCTACTTATAAATAAACCATCATTTTTTTTTTTAAGGGGGGGCGGATTGAGGGAGAGACAGAGGGAGAGAGAGTACCTTAAGCAGGCTCCAATGCCCAGTGAAGAGCCTGAGGCTGGGCTGGATCTCACCACCCTGGGTCAAGATCTGAGCCCCTATCAAGAGTCCTACGCTTAACCGACTGAGCCACCCAGACTCTCCAAAATAAACCATCGTATTAAGATGTAAAATGCTCAGAACACCGCTTCTGATCTTCAATAATCTTAACAAATGGTACTTCCTATGCCAGAAGCCCTCCTTACACTGTCATATTTCTCTCTCACTTTTGCTTCCTTCTCTACAATTTTCTTCAATGCTTTCCCAACTTTGTTTTGAACTCAGTGTATAACACTAGGCCAAAACAAGGGTTAAGTATGAAAGTCAGCAGGGCACAGGTTCAACACTAAGTGGCAGGGGAGGTTGAACACTGAGCAGGATTGTGAGACCTTCTAACCCCGCCCGCCCCCCGCCCCCCAATATCCTAAGGGCATCTCTAGACACACTTCTTGTGTTGATAATAACTGCACTTTTCAAAAGATTTATGCTGGCATTTGATCTTTACCAATTGTATTTGGAATGTAACTTTTCCTGAACTGTTAAAAAACAAAACAGTTGTTTTGTTTTAAAATGTATTGAGTTTGGTTTATGTAAATATAATCACCCCCCCCCGCCCCCAGCAGCTGGAATGTGTGGGATTGAGAAATCCGTACTCCTTTACAGATTTTAGATGTTAAAACCAAGAAACATTCTACCAGGAAAACACCAAGCTTAGGGAAAGCCTATTTAGAATACTTCTGGCCGACAGAATATGATATAAAGGTTTGCTGAGTCTGACTTACTAAATTTGTCAATAGTTGTATTGTCGTTCCTTAATTCACTCCTTGCAAAAATATTTTTTGATTTCCTACTCTGGGCCAGCTTTGCCAGCCTTAGGGGTAGAATGGTGAATGAGATCTGGTCCCTACTTTCAAGGAGTCAACAATTTAGGAGGAAAATGGAAGGGGCAGACTGCGGTAGCTGCCTGGAGGGGCTGCCGGGGAGGGAGGCAGGAGCACGGCGTGGAAGCCAGAGATCCACCCACCAGGTCGGCCCCGCGCGACAGGGCCCAGAGCTAGGTCCGCGGTTCTACAGAAGCAGCGGGGCCGGACCCGTTACACCCCGAACCCAGAGGAAGAAAGCGACATTCTATTCGTTTTGCGATTGGAAGCCACGGAAAGGGTTAATCAGAGGGAGATTATGTGATAAAATTTTTGAGAAAGATCTTGTGTGTTACGTTGTGAATCTCTGATGCTTTGGTACTTTGGGGAGAGAGGATGACATTCTCGTATTCTCATTAGAGACGCCGCACTCGCTTTCCTGGCCTCCCAGCTGCAGGTGCGGCTGTGGGCCAGTAAGGGATCTTGGAGGAACACCCTAAACCCACATTCAATAAGGCAGCACAAAAGGGAAGCGGCCGTAGGGAGGAAATCGAAGTGGACCGCTCCGGGTTGCGGCAGTGGTCCAGGGGCAAGAGCGAGCGGGCCGAGGAGTCTGCTGAAAACGTAAGTTCACTAATTCCCACCGCCCGCACTGGAGCGGATTTCAGGTAGAGACACCGACCATTCCGACCTCCCTCCAATTCACAATCTGAGGCTCCGGGCCCGGAACTCCGGGCTAGACGGCCCCGCCCCGGAACCTTGTGTCACCGGAACTAAATGCCGAAGTTCCTTTTGTTACCACCGGTCGCAACTCTTACTGGTCGCTTCCGGTGAGGAAACATGGCCGCGGCCGTTCGGGACTCACGTGTGGGTGCAGGGAAAAAGCTGAAAAATTCACTGAAGAAGAAGAAGATGAAAATGGTAGCCAGAGCAGTATCTTCGGAGTTGGAAGATGAGGGCAAAGACGCTGCCAACAGTGGAGGTAACGTACTAGGGTTGAGCTGAAAAGAAAGGCCGGGTTGAATTCGCGGGAAGCAGGGAATGCGATTGGCTTTGCTGCAAAGTTTTATCTCGGGTGGCATCCAAGGGGCGACTTTGGCCCAGTGAGAAGGCTTGGAGGTGGTGTTTAGGGAAGGGACGCTTTGAACTTCCACATTCTTTTACTAGACATTGTCACCGTCACTGTTACTGATTAAAAGGGATGAAAGCAGCAAAAAGGTTACAATGATAGAAGGCAAAATGAGAGGGTATATTTAAAATTACAAGAGTGGGAAAAGTTTCTTAGGGAACGAGGAGCAAAAGGCCAAAAGAGCTGAGAGGAAGATGAATGGTATACTTGACTTTTCTTGTGTGGTACGTTCGTGACTCTGGGAGTCAGAGACCTGATAGCAGTGAATGAAAGAAGAGGACGTGGTTAAAGTAGAATAAATAAAAGTATCAGTTGATTTCTCAGAGACGCTTGTTAAAGGAAGGAAAGATATTTTGAGGCCTTCAGCCATGATGTGACCATGCTGCTCCTCTTTACCATCATTCTTGGCATTAGCTTCTTAGGTTATAAGGAATTTGAGATGACCCCTGACCTTCTAATGTTCCAGTTATTGCTCCTTAATACTAGCTAGAGCTTTGTAACAGCCAGAACTATTCTTTTATAATGGACCTCAGATCATGAGAGTTATCTGCTCAAGATGGTCCAGTGGCTTCCCATCTCAGATTAACATCCAGAATCCTTAGACTGTATGATGTAGCTCAGGTCGTTTTTTCTCTCACAGTTTTCTACTCTGCCCCCTACTAACTACTAACTGTAATCTAACCACATTGATATCCTTGGGGTTTAACACATCAAACAGGCTCCCACACCAGGGTTTCATCACTTGCTGGCTTCACTGCCTAGAGTATTTTTCAAATACTTGCATGGCTCTCTCTTCCTGACTTCCTTCAATCTCAGATCTAGTGCTTTATCTGCAAGACTTGACCCTCATCACCCTATGTAATGTACCATCACTACTCTTCTTGCCTCCCTACCTTCACTTTTGACTAATCCTGCTATATTTTTCTCAGTGTTTCCCAAATCATCTGGCATGTTATATAATTGCTGTGTGTTTCTCCCAGCTGAAATGTAAGTTACGTAAGAGTAGAGATGGCTGTATCCCAGTATCTAAAACAGTTCCTGCTGCATAGTGGATTTTTCACAGAAATTTAAGTAAATGAATGGGTAAATCTGGACTTCCAGAATCAAGAAGAAACTGTCATGTGCTAGCTACTGCAGTCCCTAGGTAATTACAGTCCTCATCCGCTTCCAGAGTAATTAAGAAACACAGTCAATTTGTTGAGCAGGAATTAGAACTTCTGATTCTGCTATTTCCTGAACTCAATAGACTAGTTCATGTGGGGTTGTCAGGGAAAGAAGCAGTACTACATTTGAAGCAAAATACCAGTACTGCTTACAAATTTAAGTGGAAATTAGATTTCTCTCTTTAAGTACTGAATAATTCCAAGTTAGAGCTGTTCTGACTTTTCAATGCAGTATTGTCAATGCTGACCAGGTTCTAAGGTTCTCTTGCTATTATAGATAAGTTACATTGCGGATTAAGGGTTTTGGGTACTATGGAAACCTAATTATCCTTTAGGTGGATAATTTACCCTGTGTTGAGGGACAAAGGATAAATAAATTTCCGCCCTAGAATTATAGTCTTAGGGAAGATAGATATTCAGCACAGGACTGTAAAAGTAGTTATTACAATCATGGTCCAATTAAAATGGTACAAATGGAAACAGAGAAATCCATATCCTGTAGAACCCAGCTTAGGCATTGCTTTCTTCTGTCTTACACATATTACTCATAGTATGCTATGTTATTATTTTATTTTAACATACCTTTCTCCTTATAGATATAGATTCCCCAAATGCTGGAACTGTGTCTTATTTATTTCCATAGGGCCTTCCTTGCACATTTTAGTATTAAGTACATTTTCTTGCTGAATAAATGAATGAGGTGGCATTTCATCTAGGCCTTAGAAGGGTGAATAATTTTCTAAGTCTGGGGGTTCGAGAAGACAGGTTTCTCAGACGTCCAGAGAAAAGCACCTACAATGGCATGCAGCCTCTTAAAATGCATGGGCTATTTAGGACACCGTGAATTATCTGCTGTGGCTCTAGCTTCCAGAGAAGTTACTGACGTGAAACTGGGAACAGAGGGTAAAGCCAGATTGTGAAGAGTCTTGTGTGCCGTATGAAAGAGATCGGCGTCTCCATTTGTGGACAGTAGGGAACAGTTGAGAACTTTTAAGGAAGAGAGAGACACGTGTTTATTCATACCGCTGGCGGCTGTATGGCGGCTGGCGCACGGTGCCAGAACCGCTGGTGGGCCCTGGCAAACCTGTGTCCGCGCCAGCACCAGTGCAGGGGGGGGGGGGGGGGGCCACAGGGCTCCACCTGAAATGTTTTTCAGAAGAAAAACATTCAGTTTTCCAAATAACCTACTTAGAAAAAAACTCATAGCACCATAAATTTTGGGTGTGCTCTACTGTTAGAGGAATTCGATAATAAGAGCTATATTTTTTGAGCTTTTGTATGTACTGTGTGATGTTCTAAGCTCCTCATATGTGTGCCATTTCAATGCTGACAACAACCCTATGAGACAGATTCTGTTATTCTCATTTTACTTATGGGAAGCTGAGGTCCAAAAAGGTTATAACTTGCTCAGCCCAGTACATAAGCTGCTCAGCAGGTTGATAAATGACACAGCCATTATTGAAGTTTGGCTGTAGCACCTGTACTCTTTTTTTTTTTTAAAGATTTTATTTATTTATTTGAGACAGAATGAGAGAGAGAGAGAGCATGGTGGGGGGAGGGTCAGAGGGAGAAGCAGGCTTCCCGCGGAGCAGGGAGCCCGATGCGGGACTCGATCCCAGGACCCCGGGATCATGACCTGAGCCGAAGGCAGTCGCCCAACCGACTGGGCCACCCAGGCGCCCCTATTTTTTTTAATTTTTAAAAGATTTATTTACTTATTTTAGAGAGAGAGTGGGGGAGGGTCAGAGGGAGAAGCAGGCTCCTGGGCCACCCATAGGCGCCCAGTAGCACCTGTACTCTTGACCACTACCCTTCTTCTGTTCACTTTCTTGTCTGTATCCTTTAGGTTCTGACTTAGTTGTCTCCAGCCACTTTTTCCTGCAGGATTTAGACTGTAGCTCTGCGAGAGATAAATTATAAAGGGCCTTTTATTTAATAAATTCAATAATGTAGGTCCGTTGGTTATAAGACGGGACATCGTCCTTTTATCTAATTCAGAATTTGTTATTTAATATAAGAATCTGCTGTTTTCCTCTTATGAAATCAGTTATTTGAAACGTGACCGATGGAAACAGCGTTTGTATTTCAGAATTTGTGTATATGTGGCCTTGACAGAACTAATACATTTGCAGAGAATTTCAGAGAATGGATGCTGAGAAACTATAAAGGCAGAAGATTAAATCTGGTTCAGACACATCAGTGAATCAGTGTGCAAATTACAGGCTTATTATTAAAGTGAAGTGTACTGGCTCGTTTTATCCGGAAATTGAATCAGAGGTTTCTCTTTGAATTTTAATTGGATCCCAAAAATGGATAGGGATGTGCCTTATCATATGATCATTTGAAAGCAAATTCTTTTAGCAAAATATTACTTAAATTTCATAGAAAACACACAGGTTAAACCCATGCATTGTTTGAACTTTTCCTCTTGGCTTTAATTTTTATTTTGATACATTATGTAAGAAAGGTGTAAAAAATGATGCTTTTACGAGTGTAAAACTCTCAATTACTGTTTGTCAGACTTTGCAGAAATTTCCTAGTTCTTAGGACGTCTGGGTGGCTCAGTCAGTTAAGTGTCTGCCTTCAGCTTAGGTCATGGTCCCGGGGTCCTGGGATCCAGTCCCACATCAGGCTCCTTGCTCAGCGGGTGGCCTGCTTCTCCCTCTGCCTCCCACTCCCCCTGCTTGTGCGCACGCTCTCTCTGTCTCTCTGGCAAATAAATAAAATCTTTTGAAAAAAAGAAATTTCCTAGTTCTGTTAAGAAAGACTTTGTCAGCTTTGCTAACAGCTGTATCAGAATTTGGCATAGAACCTGATACACGGTATAGTACTCTATCCATTTAGTCACTGAATAAATTGGAAATTGCTCTTAATGTGATTTTTACACTTTTCTCATGTACTAGGTATTGTTGAGGGTAAAATCAACAGAACTTGTATATAATGTAAACTTACATGATAGTGAAATGGTTCAGACTGAATTTTAGTAAATTGTAACACTCTTCAGTAGGATTTGAAATTTGGTCATAGTAATATCACAAGTGATCACAGATCAGAGATATGTGGAAGGTAAAATGCTACAGTTAGCATTTTATTTTTTTCTTTAAAGATTTTATTTATTTATTTGACAAGAGAGAGACACAGCGAGAGAAGGAACACAGGCAGCGGGAGTGGGAGAGGGAGGAGCAGGCTTCCCGCTGAGCAGGGAGCCCGATGCAGGGCTTGATCCCAGGACCCTGGGACCATGACCTGAGCCTAAGGCAGATGTTCAATGACTGAGCCACCCAGGCGCCCCTACAGTTAGGATTTTAAGTAACAGATAAATATCAGGTGTTATGAAGAGGATGATGACACCCCTATTTGAGTTAACCTTGAACTGCTCAGATTTATTGAATTGATACCTTGTTGCAGGTTTTGATACAATGTGTAATTGGTTCTTAAGTTTGTATTTTTTTTAAGACTTTATTTATTCATTTGACACAGAGAGAGAGAGAGAGAGCACAAGCAGGGGAAGCAGGCAGAGGGAGAGGGAGAAGCAGGCTCCCCAGTGAGCAGGGAGCCAGATGCAGGGCTCTATCCTAGGACCCTGGGATCATGACCTGAGCCGGAACTTAACCGACTGAGCCACTCAGGTGCCCCTTAAGTTTGTATTCTTAAAGCATACACAGGCACACATAGCCTCCCTGGTCAGTA